ATAAAGTTTTGTGAGGTTTGATATCATAAAAAATCTATAATATAAAGTATAATAATAATATTAGGAAATAAAAACAAAACATAATAATAAAATTTAAAATTTTTAAACAATATATATTAGATCATTAGATTCTATCATTTAATTTTTTCAAATATATATTCTAATTATCATTAGATTTAAAGTACATGATAAATTAGATACATACCTTTTAATGATCTAAATAATTTAGATCTTTTGGTAGAGCATTCATGTAGAGAAACAATCTAATGATTGAAAAAAATGATAAGTCTTTTAGTATATAAATACCTCATAGTTTATTATATCGATTAGTTGGAGTTTCGTGTTAATAACGTATTATAAAAGAAACGATAACAATAGTAGAATTGACGAAAAAGATAATAAAATAAATTCACTATAAAATAAAGTGTTTACAAGAGATAACAACTCTAAAGAATATTTCAATCTCTACAAAATACTTACACACAAACTAATGAATAATCAATTCTATTTATAGGCTTCAAGATTAGAAAGATAATTAAAAGAGACTATGAACCATTGGGCCAATACAAAGAGTTAAAAAATGGACCCAAATCTAATATCTGGTTAACTAATTAAACTAGATAATTTGATTGTCTCATATGTACTTTATTTCAAAAGGCCCAATACAAAAAATGCAAGTCCAAGTCCACTAGCCCATTGGGCTTCATCTTATGAAATCAGCCCAAGCTACTCTCCTCCAACCTACAACCTGCATTCTTTATTCTTCAATTTCCAATATTTTTTTACGAGACACTCAGACAGACAGGTTTATGACCGTTTTCAACTGATTTATTTTTCCTAGACAATACAGACATGGCGGGATTGCTAGCGTGGGCAGCAGATGTTGTAGGAGCCCATGGAAACAACCATGAATTGTCAGAGGATAGAATCCCAATCGTGTTCACTGAAGACCAACAAAAGTATGTTCAAGAATTACATTCAAAGGCTTCATCTTTAAGCCGTTCGATCCAAGATCTACGGCTTAGATTGCCTCCACCTGATATCTCTCAACGTCTACCACACATTATTGCTCATTCTCTTGCCTCTAATGCTGCTCTTGCTCTCCAGTTGAATGCTCATTCTGCCACTAAAGAGCAGGTAAAGATTCAGTCTTTGGGGCAACTTGGGGTTTATTGGTATCTGAGCTGTTGTTTTTGTTGGGATTGTTGTTGAATTGTGCGGGTTTTTTTTTTCCTGGATTCTGGCATCTGGGTCTTTTGTGTTTTTGGATATTGCTGAAGCATATGGATTTTGTTATCTGGGGTTTTTGAATTATGGTTTGCGAAAATTTTATGTTATTGTTGTCTTGCTTTTTTGTCTTAGGTTAGATTTTTTCCTGCTATTTCTCACTTGGGATATTGGTTGTACGTTTTATGGATAGTTCTTCTTTTGATAAATGTAGAAATTTGTGGTACAAATACGATCATGCGCAGGTGTTTCTCATATTATTGCAATTTGCAATGCTTAGGGGGTTATTGCATGCTAGCTTATGCATTGCTGTTGATCTCTTCAACTGAAGGTTTCGTTGTGGTGGATTTTATATGTCTTTCGATCTGCCATATGGTAGTTTTGGATTATATGAATTTAACGTTCATATGACAGTTTAAAGAGACTTCGTTACTGGATATGCATGTAATACATTTGGTTTGTAAAGAAATAGGTGATTGATCTTTGTACTTCGCTTTGGGCTTTGGCGAGTCTATATCCATACATTGGTAAACTGCCTGTGCTTACTTTATTTGATATTAAGAGAGATTGAGATCCATGATGATCAATTGTTCAGGATCAGTGAAGCTGTTGGTGGAATTAATCTACATGCTCAAAGACAGAGCGTAATCTCCAGTGCATGTAAATTCTTTTGAGTTGGGGTGAAGATGATGGAGTAAGTTTAATCTATTGAGTAGTTACAGTGTCCAAGAGGGAGTTTCCAACTTCTAGGTGGCTTCTGTGTAAAATGTGAATATGCAGCATGTAAAATTAGGTTTGCCCTTCCCTGTAGGATTATCTAGTAGGGCCATAACTTGGTAATGCCGTTTTTATTGTATAACAATTTTTTTTTCCAAGTGGTTAAATGTAAAAAATCTGGTCAATTTAAGCATCATCATTTGCTGAATATCTGCAAACTCTACTTTTGTCAATTCTATGTGTTCCCTCTATGATTTCTACTTGACAAGACCAATCTAATATTGTAGATGAAGCAGAACATTTTAAAAAGAAATTTCCTTTTTAGTGTAATGTTAATTTGTGATGGTGAGTCGGTGACTTCTAATTTATTGTTGGGAGCATGGATAGTTCTTCTAAACTCTGTTCTAATTTTTTTTTTAATAGCATTATATGATTATTCCCTTTTCACATACTAGAATTTTGAATCTATTTTTATGACAGACCCAATTGAGAGAGGTGACCCTTCAGGAAGAAAATGCTGCATATGAAAAGGCTATATTAAATTGTGATGATAAAATACAGGAGAGAATGCAGGAAGCAGATTTACTTCTTCTGAAGCTACAGGTCAGACTTGAATTCCACATCTATATGCTACTCTGAAAAAGTAATGTGCTATTTTTCTATGATTGCTTCATTCACTGTCATAACCACATATGTTATTCGAGTCCTTGGACATGTCTTTAAAAAATAATATCTATTTCTTTAAACAGTAATCTCTTGTGGTGAATTTTCTGTTTCAAGAAACAGACTTGGTTCACCTTTAACTTTTATTTTTTATTTTAGTAATTTGAGGTTTATGAATTAATGTTAGGAAATGGATGAGACTGAGCAAACTTTGATGGAGGAGCTGGAAAATGCAGGAACTACATTGGATGCCAGGCAATGTGGAAAGTCTGGCGAGTCAGTTGTTGCTTCTGAAACAATAGCTGAAGCTGGACCAGATGCAGAAGCTGCAAAATCTGCTATATTAGAGAAGTTGGATAATAAGAAAAAAGAATTGGTAGATTTGCATTTTCTCTGCCTCTTCAAATTTTCTTCCTCAACCAAGTTCTTTTTGTTTTATGGTCTTGAAAATCTGCCTAATTCTCTCAGAGTTCAATGGAAGAAAATGTCCAAGATTTAGAGAAAAGGTGGGTGCAAGTTCAAGAGAATGCACTGAAGCAGCCTACTCCAGGTTTCTAATATCATAAATCTTCTTAAAGTTTGATTCTCTCTCTCTCTCTCTCTCTCTCTTTTTGTGTGTGTGAAAGAAAATGAGGGAGCTGAGATTAGACTTTAGTTTACATTTCTTTCGTTGCTTTCTAGAAGGTTTTCCAAGGTACAAACTTGAGTTTGATTTCCAGGTGTTTAGCCTTTGTGAATAGGACTACAACACTAGGGAAAGAGTCTTATGTGAGGCTGCAGGGAGGACTACACCCTGCAGGTTGGGATTAGATTTTTTGTCTACAGTAGATGTTCCATGCTGATCTCCTGATTTGGTTGCTGAATGGTCTTTCTTTCAATAGCTATCCTAACAGAGTTTCTTTGTTGTTCAAAGGTTAAAATATACCTTTTGTAATCAGTGACAAGAAAACCTATAAACTTGTCGCTCTTGAAGTAGTTACTTGTACAACAGAATTTGACTTGAAAGTAATTTTGCCACAGCTCAGAGAGAGAAGTTATTGGATAAACAGCTTCATAGCCTAATCGAGCAACTAGCAGCAAAACAGGTGGATTTTACAATTTATTACAAATTTACTACTGCTTATGACTTCTGGATCAACATGGGGGTTGATTTCTCATTGAATAAACACCAACTTTTCCAAATGCTGTCTTGTTTGCAGGCACAAGCAGAGGGCCTGGTCGGTGAAATTCATTTGAAAGAGATGGAGCTAGAAAGGTTGAATGGATTGTGGAGGAGGCTTGAAAGTAGCAATGTAGAGGGCAATACTGCCAGGAATCGGTTTGGAAGAAGCATCTCGGAGAAGGGTTCTGCTTCTGCAGACTATATGGTTGACAAGCTACCTTATTCCACTGGTGGCCGAACTGAGCACCAACAGAGACTCATGCTCCTGAGGTCGGCTTTTGTTCTGTACATTTTATTCTTGCACGTTGTGGTCTTCATCAAGATTTCATTTTGAGTAACGTCAAGAAAAACTCTCTGTCGTCTCCATATTTGGACGTGAGATGTTTCCATTTTGTATATTATAATTTTCTGGAAACTGTTTTTCCTTTATCGTAATATTATGGACTAATTCTCAAAACTTATATACAATGAAGCTGTTTACCACTTCCCAAGTTTATGATTCTGCTAATTGCTGAATTGAGTTGCTCTAAAGCATATACCTCAGAAGTAGGGTTACAGATAAAACAGTCAAATACAAGGAGTGCACGACATACTTGCGCAGAGACAAGTGATGAGTAGGGGGGAACATGGGAAAAAAAATGATGAAACAGTGACCTAACAGGGAGGAAACAACATTATAGGTGTGATTCGTAGAGTTTTGATGTTCTCAAATTGAGATTGACCTAAGATTTGTAGAGCTTTGCTGGATGTCATGAACTTCATGAATATGACGTAACAGTCTTCCAATTCCAAAACATTCATCACTATCTGTTAGTTGAGACATAATCATTAAAGTATAGTGGATTAGTATGAAAGAGAGGATTGATGAGGGTTTGGATCAAAATTAATTTCTCATTTGTTCTCTTTCTTTAGTTCAAAACCAAACTCAAAGGTCTAGATGCCAGGGCTTATCAATTATTCGCAAAATATGTTGGCCCATGGATTCTGAAAAGCAATCATTTGATAATGTCGGTGCTTCTCTGATACCAACTTGAAGTAATTAATGGATTTAACCCCATTGGTACATTGATGTGATAGTTCTTCTAAGTAACGTGAGGGAAACATGAAACCTTTTCATTTTCTTGTTTCATAAACTTCATTTACTTGTAAATGATAAATAATTACAGAATAACAAAGAATTTTAAATGGCATTGATAAATGTGTTAATAAATACCATTTATATTCGTATTTTTCATGAACTATTCTTCTGTAGCTTCTCATTAAAAGATCTCCAAGCTTCCCTCCTCATCATATAAAGCAAGAACTCATTCCAAGTGTCGATGGGGCCTGGCAAGCACCAGTGAACACAGTCAGCTACAGTCACATTGCTGTGAGGTGAGCGCCCATAACGGTCTGGGTGCCCATCTGGCCTCAGTAGCATTGCTTCTGTTGTAGCTACTAGCTCGAACTTTAAGCCCCTCTTCCTCCCTTCTTTCTGTGCTTTCCTTACTTCTTCAACTTGTGTCAGGTAGAATTCCAATTCATACCCATCAAACTTCATTTCCTCGCTTGTAAAAGGCCTTCTCCTAATACAATTCCCTCCTTCATTCCACGCTCCATTCTCGAAGTGTGAAGGAGAAAACGTCCTTAAAAATGTAATGCCCTTGTAGTTCTTCAGGCTTCGAAGGGTCTTAAAGGCAGTTCGAAATGCCATTCTGTAGCCGAAGTACTTTGTAACAGCAGTGATGTTTTCCATGTAGCAGTTATGACAACCAACGATCTGACCATTCATGTAGTATATCAGAGGACGGAAGAACCATTGTCCGGCTGAGATGATCACATAGTCGAAATTTTCAATCTCACCAACCCATGCCTTATCAGCTTGGTCTAAGTAAAGGCTCATCAGGCTGTTGAGGGAATGACCATTGGGGTCTGCATCGCTGGACTTGACCAAGAATGGAGACCAAAGAGTGGCTAGGGTGAACTTGTAATCAGCATAGAACCAGCGTCTGAAATATGCTGTGTCTACTGCATATCTACGAGATATATCCTCAGGATGAGCCACCTGAAAGACGAAGAGTAGGAATGAGAATAAAGAAGCCACTCAATTTTGCGTCTCTAACTTTTGGCATGTGGAGTTCTTGGTACTGAATGTTTGGTCAATAAAATAACTACATCCTAGCAAATTCTGGTCTAAATTTAAGATGCTTAAGTTCCTTGGTGATTCAATCCTTATCTATGGGCATATGCGATAAGGAGTGATTACACTTACACTGGATAAGAGACACAGCAACGATTGCATTTGGTTCCTTCCTAAGGAGTCTCCGACGAAGGCCATCTTCTTCCCTCTAACAAGTTCCAAGAACTGCTTTGCATCAAAGAACGGTAGCTCACATTCCTCTGGTCTCCACCTCCATTTCATGAACTCTGTATCAGGTCTCCCGAACTTCATGCAATTGTGCTGGTCGATGATTAGGCTACAGGTTGCATCAGTGTAGTAAGGCCCTTTAGGATAATAAACCCATTTACCACTAAAAATGTCACATTCTTTCGCTATTCCTATGTTTCTCAGATCACTGGTATCAATTTTAGGAGATGGCAGTGGTGAATGTGAAGTTGTCACCAGATATAGAGGGATTGCGGTGAGGAAACCTAGGCTGAGGGCTAGCAGCAGCAGCCTTTTGGAGGTGCTGTGCTGTGAATTCTTTCCATAGGAAAACTCAATATCATTAAACTTCATGGTGAAGTGGAACAAGAAACTTTGAAGCTGTGCACCTACTAGGAGCAACAGTTAAGGGTTTTATAAAGTTTCTGGACATGGATCATGTACTGACCTATTGTAACTAGTTTTAACAGCTGTGAGAGTTGAGGTTTGAGGATAATAATTGCTGATTCAAAGCTAATACACCTTTTATTTATGGTGAAACATCATTATCAACAATTCAACATTGAATACCAGCTTTCGAAATTTTTAGCCTTTTTGTTTTCGCATCAATTTAATCAATACCATCCTTAATAGAGGTGAAGTTTGAGCATATTACCATAATGAAAATCAAAACCATGTCCATTAAAATTGTATTGACAGATACATTTTTGTTGGAGTTGGAAATGATTCAAGTAAAATCTGGAAATAAAACAGTAGGATTATAACATAATAAAACAGTAATCACATTTTACAGTCAACAGTTTCCAGCAATCATGAGGCTCATGAATACGCTCATGAATACCTAGTGCCAACTCATGGTGTTTAGCATTGCAGGTATCTTCAAATACAAGTATTGGGCTGCTCTGTTGGTTGTATTCAGTGCTAAGTGACACAGACGTGGCTTAGGAGGAAAGTTACAAATGATTTCAAATCGCACGTTTGAGAAAATAGGTTCATTCTATGCACATTCAACACTTAAGGTAAACCTTTTGCTTTGATAATTGAGTGCTAATCATTCATGTCATCTAAATCTTTCTGAACTATTTAGTTGGGACCTATTACATATCACTACCTAGAGTGACAACCAAGCCTGGATGGACTAGGAGGCTCTTGGGTTATATGCATGAAAAAAATGAGTTTGAAGCACTTTCCTTTTTTTGCTTTAATTTTTTTTTTTTTTAACATTTAAATTGGTTTAAGAAAAGGAGCTAGCAGTTGGGATTCAGAAGAAATGGTAGTTTAGCCATTGTTTTTCTTCTGTTTTCTCAGTAATGTATTGTGAATGGGGGTACTGATTTAAGTGATCTTAGTTGATATTTGGATTAAAAAAAAAAAAAACAGAATATTGGCCTTGTTTTTGGAAGAAAGAAAGTTTATAGTGATTGTTCATAGCCGCTTCATTCTTCAGAACCATAGCAGAATCCTTATTTGCAAAGCAGATTAAAAAAGAAAAGTAAATAAATGCCCTATCTGTCATTGTAGATAAATTTCTTTTAGGCATGTTATAGACTGATAACAATTCACTATTAGGGTCATGATCCTTTTTTCTTTTAATTAACCTTTCATTCGTGATAAATCTTATAGCTATTATGACTCCACTTTAAGGTCCAGCAGAGGTTTGAGATTGAAATTTGAAGCCTAGTTTGGAGTCTATTAAGGCAAGACTTAGTTACTTGCATTTTTCTTAGGGTGAAGACTTGACTCCATTTTATCTAGTAATGAATTGAACAAAAAAAATTTAGCTGTATAGTAAATATCAAGCAAATTAATTCCCTGGTTTATTCAGGAAGATCAAGAATTTAGGTCAAGAGGTGATGAAGGAGGGTTACCTGTCTGGCATTAGCTGTGGGGTATGGAAAGAACCTTTGATCATTACTGCAAGGAATGCTCAATACCACAACATTCTAAGATCTAACTCATTGACACATTCTCTTTGCTTTTCCTTTCCTGTTAGTGATTTTTAAGGTATAAAGGGACTGAAGGCAGAACTTGAACAAGAATCCTGTTTGTATTCCCTTCCTCGCAGGAAATGTTGATAATTCCTGTCACTGATCTTATGCAAGAGGCTAACTGCTTAAATATAAAGACAGGTTATAGAGCTAACAATTAAACCTCTTCATGGTAAGCAATACAAAGCTCCTGGTGATTCGTTAATGCCTAGTTTTATCGTTGGTGATCTTCTCTGCACTTGAACAGGAACATTCTGAACTAGAGCTAGAACTAACATCATATATCTTGATTGATATTGTCCATCACACATAGCATAGAATTCCTTTACCAGATTCTAATGATGCTTTTCTAATTTTTACCACCCATCTCTCAGGAGTTTAGACCAAAGCAAATGGCAGATAACGACTCAGAAACCACGACAACTTAAATAAATAATAAACAACAAAAAATGGAAATCAGAACCATGTTCCTTTCACACTCCACATAAACTCATCCTAACATTTGCCTGATCCAAACCCATCGATTGTGTCGAACTGAACATTTTGTAGTCTGCTACCAAATGGCTCCTCGCCACCTTCCCCTCTTTAGCATCTGAAGCAAGAGCTTGTTCCAAGTATCGATAGGGCCCGGTAAGCACCAATGAACACGGTCAGCAATAGTCACATTCTCATGGGGCCAGTGCCCATAATGGTTTGGGTGTCCATCTGGCCTCATAACCATTGCTGCACTTATGTCTAGCAACCTGAACTTTAAGCCCCACTTTTTTCCTTCCCTGTTTGCTCTCCTGAGCTCCTTTACTTGAGTCAAGTATAGCTCCAAATCATCCTCATCCAATTTCATTTCTCCACTAGAAACATGCTGCGTCCTGACACAATTTCCTCCTTTATTCCATTCCCCATTCTCAAAATGTGCCGGTGACAAAGTCCTCAAAACGTTTCCCCATTGAACCTCTCAAGACTGAGTAGGGTCTTGAAAGAAGTTCTAAAGGCCTGCTTGTATCCATAGAACATTGTGAGGTTCTTGATGCTATTATTAAGACAGATGACATCCAACAACCTTGCCATTCTCATAAAATACTTGTGGTCCATAGAACCATCTTCCCGCTGAGACGATCACGTAGTCGTACCCCTCAATTTGGGCTGCCCAGACATCATCGGCTTCATCTAAGTAAAGATTCATAAGGCGGTTGTAGGTTGGGCCGTTAGGGTCTGTGTCAATGGTTCGAACCAAGTAGGGTGCCCAAAAGGATGCTAGTGTGAAGTTGTAGTTTACGTAGAGCCATCTTTTGAATCTTGCATCTTCTGTGTAAGAAATTGTCGACAGAATAGACCACCTGTGAGTAGAGAGCATAATCTATCACGTGAAAGAAATCTTGCTTCAATGAGTTACTTACGTTTTACTACCTCCGAACACTTACTCTGGCCAAGAGACACAGTAATGACTGCATTTGGTTTCTTCCTAAGGAGTCTTCAACAAATGCCATTGACTTCCCTCGTACAAGCTCCAAAAACTGCTCTGCCTCGAAGCGAGGCAGCTCACACTGATCTGGTTTCCACTTCCATTCCAAGAAATCAGTGTCTGGTCTGCCAAACTTCATGCAGTTTTGTTGATCAAAGATTTCTCGACATGTTGCATTATTATGGTATGGCATGTTCTGGTACGAAATCCATGTCCCGCGAAATATATCACATTCTTTTCTCTCAAAGCTTTTAGAAGGAAGCCATATTGGTGAAGAGCTATTCAGGAGGTAGAGTGGAATCACGGGGACAAGAACTATTAGAACAAGGGTTAGGAGAAGTTTGATCGTGCCATTTTCTGAAAAGATTTTGCCTAAGGTGAAATTCATGTACATGAACCATAATTAGAGAGAAAATGGACCAGAATTTTTTCCTTTCTTCCTTTTTTTTTTTTTTTTTTTTTATGGATCAGTTCATTTTATATGCCTGGGAGCTAAAACAAAAATTTTAATGGATTAATAGTTGCAATTTTTACCTTTCACACAGCTTGATCATGCCTCTGAAAGTTAAATATATGCCCCAATGCTAAAATATTAAATGATGAAAAGGAAAAGGAGTATGACACAAGTCATGCAAGGCTGGAATGTAGCAATTAGGAGTCTTGATTTTATAGCCATGGAAGAAAGGTGGAAGGCAACTTGATGTGTTAGATGGAAGTCATAGATTTACATAATGGTGGTTACTTTTTCGTAACGATTGTAATATAATGATTTTGGATAATTTTGTTATCGTTATTCGATATTATATAATAGGCACAATAATTATTTTATAATTACGATAAGTTGCAATCTACTGTAATTGATTGTTTTTTCAACTGCATTTACAGTTTAGAACTATGGATGGAACAAGATGTTCCACCAAACCTCACAAGCTACACTCTTTACTTTTCTACAAGATCCAGTCACATGCTAAAAAAGGGCTCACTTCGCTCTTACCTGGTTAGCTCAATTCACATCCAATCATTTTAATGTCTCACTTGATTACTACTCAACCCAACTTAACTCGACAGTTTAACTATTTAACTAGCAAAGTTATGTGTATTATTTCAAGACATCCGTGTATAAGAATAAGATCACTTGTTTTCGGCGTGACCTAAGTGCTATGTAACCAGTCCTTTACACAAATCTGAGCAAAGCCCATGCCCAGCGTTCCATTGAATTCTTAGGGTTCTATTAAAGCCCAAAAACTAGTGGGCTTAAAACAAGATGTCAGAAATTTTGATCACTGGGTTTATAAGTTCCTAAGTTTGAAGAAAGAGGCCCTTTCATTTTGGCAAAGTTTAACTAACATCAATGAAGTTTTAATAACACAATAAAGAGCCTCTAAATACAAATCTTTTTTTTTTTTCTTTTTTGAGAAGAATTATAGAAATGAAGAATTCATCTTAACTTCATTTTTCTCTCACTTAAATCAAGCTTCTCCTCATATGATCTCAAACCCTCCATCTTCAACATCTCCAGCAAGAAATCATTCCACGCATCAATCGGTCCAGGCAAGCACCAATGCACGCAGTCATTATACAATGTCACGTTTTCATGAGGCCAATGCCCATACCTGCTAGGGTGACCATCTGGCCTCAACAACATAGCTTGTGTAGTGTCCAATAACCTAAATTTCAAGCCCCTCTTTTTTCCTTCCTTCTCTGCAAGCTTAAACTCCTCCAACTGTGTCATGTAAAGCTCAAAATTTACACCCTCCAAACTCGTCTCATTGCTTCTAAAAGGCCTTCTCCTCACGCAATCACCACCGTTATCCCATTCCCCATTTTCAAAGTGCGGTGGTGCAAATGTCCTTAGAAATGTTATACCCTTATAATTGTCTAAGCTATTAATAGCTCTAAAAGCTGTCCTAAATGCCTTTCTATACCCAAAATACATAGGCAAGTCTGTCACATTTTCTAGGAGGCAAAATCGACAACCAACTACTTGGCGATTTTCATAGTAAACACATGGACGATAGAACCAATGGCCTGCATTGATGATCACATAGTCAAATTCCTCTATCTGGGATGTCCATCCTTCATCAAATTCATCAAGGTAGAGATTGAAGAGGCCAGTTTGAGTAGGTCCATTGGCATCTGCTTCTCCAGCCTTAACCAAATGGGGTGTCCAAAATGTTGCAAGGGTGAAATTGTATGATGGGTACCTCCAACGTTTGAAATATTCATCTGGTGTATATGAAACATCAATGGGATATTCCACCTGAAATAATTAGAGTAAATACCATCAAATAATTAAGGAAAAAGAATATATTGCTTCTAATTAAGCATGAGATGGCAATATATAAGGTCTCAAAATCAAGTATTAAGGGTGCTAGACCCCTTAAGCCAAAATTACTAGACCAATCTTCATGCAACATTCCAGATAGTTTTTTAAATGAAATATAATAGCACATCATTATGGTGGTTGGGAAGTTTAATAGCCACTAGATAGATTATCCATACAATTAAGAATTTATTTTAATTTGTTGGGAAAATGATGCAATAGGCCCACATTGATGGTCCATCTAACATTACAAGGAGTTCGTCAATGCCAAATCAAATTTGGATTTATATTTTAGTAGATCTCGAGGCTTAGAGATTTAGACTAATTCATCGTTATTCGATCGTGTACACAAGATAAATATAATTATTTAAAGAGTTTTTTATATATTCAAAAACTCAAAATCGAGATTACTTGTTTAAGTGATTAGAGTTTTTTCTTCTCAAGTCAATTCTCTTGAATGAGTAGATTTATTTTGAGTGGAAGAACATGATTTAGCAGGACTAATCATGCACATCTCTTCATGCAAATTGGTTAGATGTCAAGTTAAACAATGTGCTATGACATGAACCAATTAGCTAGAAGTTAGCTAACAAAAATAAGCAGTCTTTAGTGATCTTTAATTTCTTGAATAGAAAGAGAGAGACCTATAGCTAAGCTATTTCTTTTTTTTTTCTTTTTTTCTAATAATATGACATATCTGAAATTATTAATTTGTTTTTAATTCAAAAAAGAATAATATTTACCAAATATTTGAGCTGCGTACAATATACCCCTTCTCGGAAAGAAAATTCCTTTTATAAGTAACTTCATCAATTAATTAATTGATAACACCACAGCTTAATTATTTCATAAATGTAACAATAATCCTTCATCAAGAAACGCAAAGTTGGGCTTCTCTTTACCCTTTGCTAATTATTTGAAAGATGCCATTAGAGGAGTAGGAACCCACATTACTAGATGGGAAAAGAAATTGAAAGATTCATTACGTACGTAGTGGTTCTATCCATGCCACGCATTAGGTTTTCAAGAGATTTGATATGTTGGGGTCTGTAGGCATCTTTTACAAAATCTTTGTTACAATATCATCATGCCTTAGGTGAACTAACTTGTTGGCAATCGAGAGTTCAAACCTGACTAGTTAAACTGAACTACATGAGCTGTCTCCATTTTTTTTTTATTGACACAACATAAATCAAATCAAATGTACGTATGTAGCTTCTTCTTTTTCTTCTTCTTTTTTCCTTTAAATCACCGCAAGCTTCACTTTCGGGGAAATGTGATTCTTTTTGCTAATTAATTAATTAATTTTCCCACAATTAATTAATCTAAGCACAATACGAGTTTAATAAATGGAATAACATGAGAAAACAGTAGTCAGTTGTAAGCTAGATTGATGATAACACTCCATCAATTTACAATGACATTCCACTAATAAATTAGGTATTAGCCAACGAGGAGTGTTATTATTATAAATTGATGGAGTATCATATTTATCTTTAATGCTCCGTAACTTATTGTTAATTACAGTGAGATTATCATTTGAATTCTACTGAAATTGGAGATAAATTTTCTGTAAAGAATCAGATCGAAATTTCATATACTTGAAACTAAAAATCAGAATGAGAAAACAGATTATGGAAGCTCAACATAATATTTAATTACTGTATAGTATAAATAAACAAGTAGATATATATATAAGAAATAATAATAAGATGAGGCTTACCCTGGAAAGAAGGCAGATTAAGGACTGCATTTGGTTTCTCCCCACAGAGTCTCCAACAAACGCCATGGACTTGCCTCTAACAATTTCAAGGAACTGAGCTGGGTTAAAAATAGGCAGCTCACATCCATCTGGTTGCCATCTCCATTTCATGAACCCTGTATCAGGTCTTCCATATTTCATGCAATTTTGATGCTCGTGTATTGCCCAACATGTTGTGTTTGTGTAATATGGGGCATTAGGATTTGGTATCCATTCTCCAGTGAATATGTCACATTTCTGCTCACTTGCATGCACATATAACGATCCATATTCCACAGAAACATAAGATGATGCCGATATTGAGATTTGTGACTCCGAAATATTTTTCAATAAATATAAAGGGTACCCTAGCAAAGGGTAACATAGAGGAAAAATTGTGAAAAGAACAAGAGCAAGGGTTACTATCAGGACTATCATTGGTGTATTCTTTCGTAGAGCATGGTGCTTGCTGCCAAAGGGAAGCTCCAAGCCATAAATCTTCATTTTGGAGAGCAAAGAGAGAAGGAGGGAGAGGGAGGCAACGAGATTGCAAGGATTTGGAAAGGGACTTGCTTGCTCACCTATTTGTCAATCAATGTGTCTAGTTTAAAGTTTAAACAAGTACGTACAGCTATAAATCTTCTTAATTAAGATTATTTTATTAATTAAGTAGGGTACGTACGTAATGCAAATTACTTTTTTAATCCTTGGAAGTATCTTACAATATGACATGCAAGTAATTTAGGAGAAAATATTAGAAATTAATAACTAATTAAATAGATGCATCTGTAGGTAATTTTATTTTGTATCATTTTCCATTATGTTTTATATGCCGGTTCGACCTTTTTATTAAAGTAGTTAAAGGGATGTGCCCGTTCTAATTAGCTAGCAAGTGAAAACAAATTAAAGTGAAATTCTTATAAATTTTATAATTTCAATATGAATGGCTTATATTTTGCAGGGCTGAAAAGATATATAATTTAGCACAACCTTGGTATATAAAAATTGACTAAAAAATATATTATATAGCCATGAAAAAAAAAAGGCCTCTTAATTAATTTGTTGTAATTGACAATGGAAATGATCAAGCATTTGGTAAAAAGTAAAACATCTTCTGGATCAAATTAAATTAAAATCCACTACATTATGTTGGAGCCTTGTATGAAGTGCTTAACCAAAGGGCTTGTAGCCTAGTGGTAGTGATCTTTTGCAATAAGAGGTCACGAGTTCAAATTCTAGCAAAATGATTCTCGCTAGGAACCTTAAGTGTATGAGTTTAATAAAAAAAAATTATTATATGATGATAATTCTAATTTTTAAATCCAAGAAAAATAAATGAAGATAACATTATTATATGATGATAATTCTAATTTCTAAATCCAAGAAAAATAAATGAAGATAACAAAATCTATAACCTATATATATATATGGTGGGTCTTGTTGAATTATTTGAATCGAAGTTTGATGAGAGTGAGGAAATGATAGCAAATTAAAGAGTAATGACTAGCTAGCTAATAAAGGATTTGTTTATTTCAAAAAGTAATAACTAGCTACTGAGATAGAGTCCTACTCGATAAACAAGTAGAAGAGATAAATGTTGCTACGAGTAGTTTGATAGTTACGGGGATTTTAACTAGTTACGGGAATCCTTATCTATTGTTACAAGGATTCCTATCTATTGTATTACTTAGAGTTCTAGTTACACTATACTTGTACACATATAAATGACATGTTAAACTCCTAGTAAAATACAAGATTGAAATATTTCTTCCAATCGAAACTCACTATTTAACTTGGTATCGAGCCTCGTAGGCTAACTATTGTTTTTTTCCTTTCTCTCAAACTCTTACCCGATGCATATTGCCTCTCTATTCCCAACTGAAATCGATGACCTCCTTCAGCAACACCACCTCTCTCATCACTACTCGTTGAAACTACTCTAACCATTCATCAATCCACCAATCCAATGAGTCACCTAACGAACTCTCATCACTTCATCTCCTTAAAACTAAACCAAACAAACTACCTACTCGTGGCGAGTTCAACTCAAGCCTTTCCTCCTTGGCCAAGACCTATTCGGGTTTGTTGATGGCTCCTTCCCTTGCCTTTCTAACCACATTCCAGCTCCTATTGATGGCCGTCCATAGCATAACCCCGCTTACAAAGCATGGATCCAATAGGACCGGCTCCTCATGAGTACATTGATCTCCTCTCTCTCAATAGACATGTTACCTATGGTAATTGATCGCACCACCTCTCGAGAGGTCCGGTGCATTCTTGAAAGTGGCCTTGCTTCCCCCTCTAACACTTTTATAATGACCCTCCATCTTGCCTTGCAATGCCTCGAGCGGGAGCAACGTGAATCGGTCTTCACTTTCCTCTACCATGCCAAATCCATAATGATAAATTAATAGCGAATTGGTCGGTCCCTTCCCTTAATTGACTTCAATCTCTACATCTTCAAAGGCCTCTCTAGTGATTTCAAAAACATTGTCACCACTCTCTCCACATGTCCTGAACCAGGTAACATTTATTGACCTCCATAGTTTCTTGGTTAGTCACGAGTTCCTCCTACTTGATTTAGATCTATCATCCCCACCATAGCTAGCACTACCGTCCATGCCCCTCGTCGCCTTATTGCCCACACCTCTTATGACTCACACAATAGCCAAGGGCTTGGGGTATCAGCCAACTTGGTGACTAATATAATGGCTTCAATCACGGTCGTGGCAAACAAACCGGAGGCAAAAGGCATGGTCGCTCCACCTCTAGGTATGGAAACACCTCCTTCCATCCGGAAAACAAAAGCTATTGGAACCATCATGATAACCACACCAAATGCCATATCCGCCACTCCTAGAACCATACTACCATCCATTACCTATGGAGCCACACTAGATAGCAACAACCGACAACTAACCTCAAGACTTCCTCATCCCTACAGTCGTGCTCACATACATGGCGCTCTAACACCGGTGCCTCACACCATGTGACTCCCGACTCGACTAGTTTTAGCACATACAAACCATACATGGGTAATGATCAACTCCGGGTTGGAAATGATGAGTTTTTACCTATTTTGCATATTGGTTCAAGTCATATTAAAACTCTTGCTAAAAATCTTAAATTGCTTGATGTGTTACACGTCCCACAAATAACTCGACCTTTGTTATCTATTAAACATCTTATTAAGGCTCCATTTGTTAGGTAGAAAACAATTTCCAATAAGAAAACTAATTATGAGGAAGCTATTTTCCAAGAAGTTGTTTTCCAAAAAATATTTTTTGGCGTTTAGTAGTTGAATGGAAAAGCTGTTGAAAAACATTTTTCAGCGTTTGTTTGATACGGAAAACGAAAATAAAAAAATAGATTGTAGTTATTATATCAACGAGTTTTGAAAGAATTTCAACAAAGCATATTGACAATCTCATAATATAAAAATTGTTAAAAGATCTCACATACATATATATATATATATGTTGAGACAATCTTTGGCTAAGTGACCAAACCTTTTGCATATATAAAGCATTGATCACATTTTTTTGGGTTCCATTGACTAGATGGATAAGCAGAGAGTGGTGTCAATGGTGGAGTTGAGGAACATGAATTGGTATCATAAAAAATATAACATAATTATTTATAAAAAAAGTCATATAATAAAATTATAATGAAATACTTGGTTAGATAAATAAAATAAATAGTTCTTTCCATTTTATCAATTTCATCTATAATTATACTACTCATAATCTAGAAGTTGAATCTCATTCATGCATCATAGCAACTTATACACTAGAAAATTAAACATCCATAATTAAAATATCCCACATCCATAATAATAGCTACAAAGATAGCCGCAATGATCCAACATCCAAAAAAACATTAAAACTATCTACAAAATCCATACTCCTACAAATCCAAATACATAATAGGAATCCAAATATATAATAGGAAAGTCACATATAATAGTAATAGATCCAGCCATTTAATTAAAAGCCACATCATGTAGATGATTCACCATGTTCATTGATGAACTTTTCAATCCAAAGCTTCCTATGTTGTTCATTTCTTGCCATAAAAGCCTTTGCCAACCTATCATTTTGCACCAAATAATCAAATACATTATTCAAGATGCCATCATCAAAATCACTAATCTTCATCACCACATTATAAAGCTCATTTATATCAACTTCATTTTTTGTTAAAGCATTAATTGCTTTGCTTCTCTTTTAGAAAGCATACTAGTTGATGATGCCTCTTTTCCTTTACCTATGTCAACTTAATCTGGTGTTGTAGATCCCATTTTAAAGCTCTCAGCCAAGTTGATATCATTAAAGGACTTGGCAAAACTTCCTATGGCCATATCTTGTCCAGCAACAAGTGTTATCTTATTGTATATCTCAATTTTCCGTTCAAGTACTTATCATACTTTGGATGCACTCGTATATTAAAAGAAATTAGAAAAATCTTATAAATATAGAAAAATAAGTTAAGACATTGAAAAAAAATTATATTACCATTATCTCTTCATCATAAACTTGTTTTGAGATAGTTATCATTTTCAACTCATCATTCTATCCAAAACCACTTTCCTCTTTGCAAGTTGTGTGATAATCTTTCATTCTTTTTTTACTATCTTCAAATGATTTTTACCATTATCAAGAGAATAATCTAATCCAAATCTTAAGTTGATTTCTCTTGCTACACGTGCAAAGCTATCTTGTTTGAAAGTGGAAGAAGGTTTATTCCCTTTCATAGCCTTCTCGACCAAAATCTCAAGCAACATATGAGACATAGGTCTTGTCCACCTAAACTGTTCGGCTTTAGCTTTTTCTTGCTTCGTGTTACTCATTTCTACAAGCATTAACGATAAACGGAATTTCAAAAAAAAAAACAATATATCGTGAGAAATAGACAAGAGAAATTATAATTGGAAGTAAACTAGAAAATAACTTATCTCATTAGTTAAAAAAATTAACAATAAAAACAAAAGAATAAATCACATGCTATTTTTTTATTTCAAAGAGTTTTTATTTCTTTTCTTTTCTTTTTTGAGAAAAGAAATATCATGAGATTCAAAATAACAATAATAATAATAATAATAATTAAAACAAGTAAAAATAGAAGAGGAAAATTAGTATAAAATCAAGAATAGAAAAAAATGCATAAAAATTTTTATCGATGGATTTTTATGAATGTTCTCGAAACTTTATTTCGGATATGAAACCGATGTGTAGCTCATTGGCTCTTCAACTTTTGTCGGACTAATAATCATGGAAAATTGCAATTTATGTGTAAGGATTATAGAAAATTATACAATAAATTAATGCCAAATTAGTGGGTATTATATTATGTGGAGGCACATATGTCAACTCGTCAACCCAAAAACAAGTAACAAAGGCTCTCTAAAATATAAGGACATCCTTTACAAGTTGTAATCTTGGCCTTGAGCAAGCCATATGCTTCCTTTGTATGTTGTTCTCAAAATCCAATAGTTATATGGGTTT